CCCCCCCAGGTCAAGACCCTTAACTTAATAACATTTTCAAAGACATTCACAGGATTTAGGGGTTAGGGCATACACATTGTCTGGGGGCTGTTATCCAGCTGGCCATGGTCACTCAGTAGGAACTAAAGTCCTTTGGTTGGTCCTTCCTTCCTTCCTTCCTTCCTTCCTTCCTTCCTTCCTTCCTTCCTTCCTCCTTCCCTCCTTTCATTTTTTTAAAAATTTACATCGAAGTTCATTAGCATATAGTGCAATAATGATTTCAGGAGTAGAATCCAGTGCTTCATCCCCTATGTATGACACCTAGTGCTCATCCCAACAAGTGTCCTCCTTAATGCCCCTTGCCCATTTAGCCCATTCCCCCACCTATAACCCCTCTAGCAACTCTCAGTTTGTTCTCTGTATTGAAAAGTCTCTGAGGCACCTGGTGGCTCAGTCGGTTAAGCAATATGACTTGGACTCAGGTCATGATGTCATCGTTTGTGTTGAGCTCTATGCTGGCACCTCAGAGCCTGGAGCCTGCTTCCCATTCTGTGTTTCCCTCTCTCTGCCCCTCCCCTGCTGGCACTCTGTTTCTCTCTCAAAAATAAATAAAAACATTAAAAAAATAAAAAAAGAGTCTCTTCTGTTTTGTCCCCCTCCTTGTTTTTATATTATTTTTGCTTCCCTTCCCTTATGTACATCTGTTTTGTATCTTAAACTCCACATATGAGTGAAGTCATATGATATTTGTCCTTCTCTGACTAATTTCACTTAGCATAATACACCCTAGTTCCATCCACATTGTTGCAAATGGCAAGATTTCATTCTTTCTGATTGCCAAGCAATACTCTATTATATATAAATACCACATATTCTTTATCTATTCATCTGTTGATGGACATTTGGGCTCTTTCCATACTTAGGCCACTGTCGATAAGAGCTGCTATAAACATTGGGGTGCATGTGCCCCTTTCAAACAGGACTCCTGTATCCTTTGGACAAATACCTAGTAGTGCAATTGCTGGGCTGTAGAGTAGCTCTAGTTTTGATTTTTGAGGAACCTACATATTGTTTTCCAGAGTGGCTGCACCAGTTTGCATTCCTACCAGCAGAAAGGGTACAGGGTTTCTGTATGAGGGGATGAAAATGCCCCCAAATTAGACTCCAGTGTTGTTGCCTAACTGTAAATATGCTAAGAACCACCGAACTGTACACTTTAAATTAGTGAGTTATATGGTATGTGGATCATATCTCAATAAAGCTGTTACCAAAGAAAGCACATTACATTTGCAAAGAAATGCTGTGTCTGTTATACGTGGATATTTGCAATTTTTGATTTTTTTTTTTAAAACATACACAATTCTTTTAGAAACGAGGACTATGAAATGTAGGTTGAGCTAGACAAGACTGATTCAGGCCAAGTGGGGCTCCATGGCTGACAGCAGTGCCACCCTGATGTGGCAAGTAAGGTGTATGCATGGAGGACTGCGGTTCTAGGTTCTCTCACAGGAGGTTCAGGTGTATGGAAGGGAATGCTGACAGGAGGTCACAGTTCTGACAAGGGGTGAAGGGTTCAGAGCAAATTGCAGGATCCCACCAGGCATGCTGGAGTGCATATCTGGGCCTTCAGTAGAAGCCCAGCCATGTGAGCTGGGACCCAGAGGAGCTACTGGGGCACTTGGGGCCCCTCCTCCAGGGAGGAGTAGCAGCAGCATGTCTGACTAGATGCCAAGAGTCATGTGGGACTGATCTGGGTAAAGGAGTCAGGCTGCAGGGCAGTGCTGGCTTGCAGTGGGGGCTGGATGAGGTGGTCTGGCCTTTTCTGAAGAGTCGGGTCCAGTCAGGGGCCACCCATGGTTACCCATTTGATTCTTAGTGTTGTTAGCTCACAGCCTGACCAGGATGTGTCTTCAACCCTAGCTGTGTGAATGCAAGAAAGAGAGCCAGAGAGAAGGAACTAATTGTTCTTGTCAAGTTCCTCTTAATAACCTGTTGCTCCTCCCACTGATGGTACCACCAGGTACCTAGATCTGTTCAACCCAACATTAATTATGCCAAAGACTGTGACAGGGGCTAGAAATAAAAAGACCAAGAAACCGTCCTTGCCCTCAAGGAACTTATAGTCTAAATGGGGAAGGCCACTCATAGTAGATCATTTTTAACATGATGATAATATCCTATCACATGTGCTCATCACCAAGCATTCAGGTTGGGTTGCAGAGCCTGCTTCTAGGGGACCCAACTTAAGACACACATCTAACACAACTAAAAAAAGCACACTGAAATGTTTTTTAGTATACTTAATATTGCACAAAAATTAAAATTTTGACCCTTTCTGCAAACGTTACTCAAAGGACAAAAATGTTCTTGGATGGACTGATAGTTATATTTTCTAGAGAAAACCTAGGAAACACACCCAATATGAAAATTTCCTCAATTAACACAATTCATTTATATCCCCAATGTCAAAACACATTAAGTTGGCATATTGGGTCGGCAATGAACACAAGCTTATCGTGCACAATTGACTTTTTGATGTCAAGATGTAGAGTCTTCCACAGCATCTCTATTTTCAAGTAAGTGTGACATTTTGGATTCAATCTAAATGCATGATGATGGAGAGATCTGACAAGATGTGATTGATTCTGGGGTAAAAAAAAAGTGTTTAAAAATTGTATTTAAACTTTACTATTCTGAAATTTGGTTTCAGTAATATTTGTGTTGCACTATTTTATTTTTATCATACAGAGGTCACATAATATAGTGGGGAGAGAGCCCTGGATTCTCGTCCAGACTCCGTAACTCAATATCCTAGTCACCCAGACAAACTGTACTCTCTCTGGGGCTCATTTGCTACATTTGTTTGAAAAGAAAAACAAGAAGTTGCAGAGGAAAAGGAGAGTTTGGTTAAATGATCTATAATATCCCTTCTACCAAATTTCTATCAAGTCCGTTTAATTTCACCATTCAGATTTGTGCACACTGAACCAAACTGGTATCTTATTTTTGAACTAAGAAATTTTAGTACTTAAAAAAAAAAAAACCCAAAACACCCAGCACCCCGCCTGAATCCATCTGTAGTTTTAACATTAGGAATTCAAATTGGAGTATTTTTAGCCTCTGGAGTTTAAGTAAGCCCTTAACTTGAGCCTCTGCCTGCATTTTATAATTTGGCTAATTTAAGTCATAATGCAGTTCCATCTCTGACAAAGAAAGCAGGATCGTTTTACTAATATTTTTTTGCACTTCAAGAATTCTAATTGGAAACGTTGTAAGTACAATGGCATAAGAGGAAGAAAATGATTCATTTTAATCCTTCATTCGACATTTTTTCTTCTTTTTTATGAAACACAATCCCAACTGTCAGAAATGCAAGTTATTTCAGATGCTCTCAAAAGGTTCACTTAGAACAGATTGCCAGAGGGGTTGCATTAGAAAACAGAAAAATCAATTCTAGATGAAAGCAAAACACAGAAGCTCCAAATTGGCAAGAAAGAATAGTTATATTAATCATTTAGTTATTTAAGAGGAGGATGGAGGAGATGGAGAAGTGCTTCCTAATGTCTCAAGATTGGGTGGTTTTAGTCACCATCTCTGTGCTGGGTGCATCTTATAAATAACTTCATGAAATGGGGCCCTATGAAACTCTAGCCTCTACGGAACTTTGTGACCTTCCTTACTGCCCATTATCTCGTCACAGCGTTGAAGACGTAGCAGGCAGTAATCAGATCAGAGTCTGGAAAGTCAGGGAGAGAAACTGGAATGAATTACTTTCTTAAAGGAAGTGGTCATTCAAAGGCAGAAAATCCAAGTCACCTGCAATCTTCTTGTCCACTTTGCCAAGGGATGGGTTGGGTTGGGTCCAAGAACAGGAAGGGAGAACTCAGCTGGAGTCAGGGAGCGGGGGTAGGAGCAAATTCCGCAACGCAGAATGTGAGACGAGCCAGCCCGGGAGACGCGGGCCGCCTCGGGAAGGGCGCAGACTAGGCCCAGCATCTCGAAAGGGTGAGTCCAGGTGAGGGGTGTGTAACGAAGCGCCCCTGGCAGGGAGCCCCAAATTCCCCCGGGCGTGGTTCCAGCTAGTAGCTCTCAACTCAGCGGCCTCCTGGGTGTCAGCGCGCAAAATCGCCGCTTAATCCCCGCCCCCGCCAGATTAATTAGGGCCTTCCCAAAGCAGAAAGTTTCGAGCCAGGGGGCTTCTTTCCCAGGCGCAAGGGCACCAGGGGGTCGACATTCCTCCGACCCAGCCAGCCGCCTCTCCCCCAGACACCACCAGGTACAGCGTCCCGGGAGACCGGCGCACCTCCAGTGAACGCTTCCCACAGCCCTAGCCGAGTTCCTGAGACCCCCTGGTGACCGGCGGCTGGTCGGGTCACCGGAGTCAAGTCCCAGGCCAGGGCCGCTTCCTCCAGCGCCCCGGCCCTGGGTTCGCCGCCAGCAGCCCGGGGCGCGGGGCGGGGCACGCTGGGGAGGCCGAGGCCGCGCGCTATTCCTGTCGCGGTGAGCTACCGGCATGTTATGTACGGCGCCCAATCATGCCTCCGACGCGCCGCGCTGACCTGCGTCCCCCCTTCTTAATCCCCCAGGCTTTGATTTGATCCTCCGCGCGGAACAAGTTCACCCCCCTCTCCGCCCCGTACCCAGTTGTCCCCGGCCCTCGCGGGTGCCCGCAGAATCCGTCCTCCTTGTCCACCCCCGGGAGGCCAGAGCCCTCGTTCCGCACTCCCGGGACGCCCGAGGCGGGCCACATCTTTGCATCTGCGCCGTCGGAGATCCAGCAACCCCCACCCCGAGTCAGTCCACCCTCAGCTCGGCCCTTCCAGGTGATGGTGTGTGGCCACTGCGGCCCCTGGCGCGCAGGTGTGGGCTTCCCAAACTGGGCCGGGGAGGGGGCTTTGGGCAACGTGCTGGCAGCCTCGGCAGACGCCGGAACCAAATCCTGCACCCTCCGGAAGAATCCAAACTCCGTGCCCTTTGCTACTAGGAGCTTATGGAAACCGTTCCCCGACCGGGTTTGCTCTGAGAGGGATACAGGGCTATCTGCAGACCTGGATGAAGAAGCCCTGGGCTTTAAGCTGAGCAGGCAAAAATGGGCCCCTGCTAGGGGCTCTGCGGCTCGCGTGGGGGACCCAGGGGCGCGGTGCCCCGAGATGACTCTGGCCGTGCCCGGCGGCCCCCAGCCCCGGCCAGGCCGCTTTCCACCCTGGACATCATGAGTTACTTTCTATCTTACTGTAAATCTCATGGCGGTGCACTGCTCACCGGCTACCAGGCCCTGCGCGCGGAGGGCTTCCTGTGCGATGTGACGCTGGAGGCCGAGGGCAGCGAGTTCCCGGCCCATAGGTCGCTTCTCGCGTGTTCCAGCGACTACTTCAGGGCCCTGTTCAAGAGCCACACCCGGGAATCCAGGGCGCGCGTGATCCACCTGCACGTGCCGTCGGCGGCCGGCCTGCAGCGCCTGCTGGACTTCATCTACACCGCCTGGTTGCCGCTCTCCATGGACACGGTGGAGGACACGCTCGAGGCCGCCAGCTATCTGCAAGTCACGGAAGCACTGGGGCTGTGCGGTCGCTACCTGGAGCGCCAGCTGGCTCCAGAGAACTCTTGCTTCGCCGCCAACGTGGCGGCGCGCTTCGGCCTGGCGCACACGTTAGGCGAGGCCGAGCGCTGCATCGTGCGCCACCTGCGGGAGCTGCTGGTGCGGGGCGCGGGCCCCGCGGGGCTGCTGGAGCTGAACCCCACGTCGCTGAGGGCTGTGTTGGGTGCCCCCGACGTGGCGCGGGTGCCTGAGACCTGGCTGCTGGGTCTGGCGTTGGCCTGGCTGCGGCAGGAGCCTGAGGCCGAACGCCTGGCCCACTGCACCTCGCTGCTTGAGCGCGTTCGCTTCGGCCTAGTACCTGCAGACGTGCTGCGGCGCGTGTACTCGGGCTCTGGCCTCGTGCTGCCCGCCCGGGTTAAGGGCCTCATTATCCAGGCCCTCAACTACCACACTGCGCCCTCCCGCCAGCCTCTCGTGCAGGGCGAGCAGACCAGCGTCCGGAGCCCCCAAACTCGCATCTTGTTGGTCGGAGGGCGCAGGGCGCGGGAGGCGGTGACCGAGGAGGTCGCGGCCCCACCGCCAGTAGCCAGGGGCAGGGGCGCCATGGCGGAGCCCGAGGAGGAGGAGGGGGAGGAGGAGGAAGGTGAGTTGGAAGAGGAGGAGGAGGATTGGGAGCTCACCCAAGACGTGGTGGCTTTCGACGTGTACAACCACTGCTGGCGCAGTCTCACGCGGCTGCCTGCACCACTACTGGGGCACAGCGTGTGCACCGCAGGCAATTTCCTGTTCGTCCTGGGCGGGGAGAGCCCTTCGGACGGCGCTTCCTCACCCCTGGCAGGCGGACAGCGGGCCGTCACGGCCCAAGTGCACCGTTATGACCCGCGCTTCCACGCTTGGACGGCGGTGCCCGCTATGCGAGAAGCGCGGGCCCACTTCTGGTGCGGCGCGGTGGGCGAGGCGCTCCTGGCCGTCGGGGGTCTGGGCGCCGACGGCGAGGCGCTGGCGTCGGTAGAGATGTACGACCTGCGCCGGGACCGCTGGACGGCTGCCGGGGCGCTGCCGCGGGCGCTGTATGGCCACGCGGGGGCCATCGGGGACCGCGGCATCGTGTACATCTCTGGGGGTAAGGCGGGGAGAGGCGAGGGCAGCTCGAGCAGCCTCCGGGACATGTACACCTTGGGCCCTGGGGAGCGAGCGTGGAGCAAGAGGGCGCCCATGAGCACTGCCCGCTTCGGGCACCACATGGCTGTGCTGCGAGGCGCGGTGTTCGCCTTTCTGGGGCGCTATGAGCCCTTCTCGGAGATCGAACGCTACGAGCCCGGCACGGACCAGTGGACTCGACTGCGGCCGCTACCTTATGATCGCTTCTGCTATGGGCTGGCCGTTGTGGAGGAGACGGCGCTGCTGCTGGGCGGCCTCAAGTGGCGGGATTCGCGGCAGGTGTCTACCCGGAACGTGGTGGGCTACGACCTCGACCTGGACCGCTGGGAGGACATTGGCTGCGCGCTACCCTGGGCCTGGAACGGCCTCCAGTGTGCAGTGCTGCAGCTGGCTGAGGGTGGGGATGAGGAGAGGGAGGGAGGGTTCGGAGAAACGCCAGATTTAATGCTGGGCTTAATGGGTTAGTGCAGTCTCCGGGCGACAGGGGAGAAAAAGTCGCGCTTGAGCAGGTTTACAGAGTAATACGTGGGCTTTTCCTAAGAATGGGACTCTGGGAGCAGGGCGGCTTCTGAAGTTTAAATATGCAAACAAGGGCTTGGCCCAACAGGAACATTTCCCCTTAAGCTGAGAATGGGAGACAGGATGAGTCAAAACAGAAGGATATATGTATCTGCTTCAGTGAGCTGGAAGTCTAGGAAGACTCACGCTGGACTAGAGATGGACTTTTGCAAAGAAGATATGACCCTGTTTTCCCTCTTAAAGTGTTTCCTTAGGTGCTAGACTGATTACTTGTGCCAAACAAGGCCAAAAATGTACAAGAAATTATATACAAAACCCAGAAAATTGTTAGCCATAAAAGCTGTAATAAATAGTCCGAAAATATGGCATTATCTGAATAAATAGTGAAGGGAAAGTGCCTTCATTAAATAGCATGAAATCACTGTAAGGAGAGCTATGATTTTATGATCCAGAACCATGTTTATAGTTCTGTTGGTTTAATATAAATGTAGAACTGAGAGAGAAAAAAAAAATCTCTAGGAAAGCACTTGTTTTTGGAAAAAGTATACTAGGTTAAGTTTTTGTGTCCCTCATCCTTAATCCCTAGCCTGCTTTTGCCTTGGCTTTAGGCCATTCATTGGTTTTATTTCAGCAGTCCTTAGCCATAATAATCAGGCTCTTTTGGTTAAGCAGCACATCTAGCAAAACCCAAACCTGTTTCTTTCATCTTTAAATATTCATTCTGCAGACATGCCATAGGTTATATTTGTAAAAAAAAAAAAAAAAACAAACAACCCCCC